AGACTGTCAGATATATTTCCAGTTTATCACACACTGTGATTTCCAGTTAATTCTGCCAGCCTCCTCCACCAGTCTCACCTCTCTTGCCACACTGCTTCCCAACCTCTTTGCTTCCTGTAGCAAAAGGTCATCCACAAACCAAGGGGAAGAAAAGTAGCAAAACATGGTTGCTGAAGAAAAATAATCACACTTTTATAGACAAATCTTGGCATCTGTAGAATTAAAGAAGCTTAAAGTGACTTCCGGATTGAAAATCCAGATCTGCTTTTGTGCTTAATATTGAGTGATTGCTATTGCGTAAGAATTGCTGTCTTGTTGCTAAAGGTCTCATGGCAGTTGTTTCTGTTGTAGAATGCCACTATTAACGAAGCACTTCTTTCTTTCCTGAAGAACACTGGATTTCCACAGGAGCATGTGACCTCCTGTTAATGAGGAGACTCTAAATCCTGTTATCAGCAATAGCCAGTTGCATTGGCTCAGGTGTTAAATAGGCTGCCTCTGCAGGGCTCACCGTTTTATTAGTAGATTCCCATCCCTCTCCGATCCCCCTAACATGGCCATCACAAATATCACATCATCACCTTTCTCTAAAAATGATGTATGAATAGTAGCACTCCTTTCCTGAGAAGGCCTAACTTTGTGCCGGACACTGAGCTGGATGCTTTGTGTAGGTTAGCTCAGTTCATCCTTCCAACAACCCGCAGGTAATAATAACCTGTTAGTTTCCCCTATTTATCAGTCCGGGAAACAGGGGATCCACCACCCAGGAAGTGAAACCTAGGATTTCCCACCTCTGGAACAAGAATGTTCAGAGTCATTAAACTAGACTACTGGCCCCATTGGTGAGCAGTCATTCATTCAGCTGGTATAATATTTATGGAAGGCCTCAGGTGAGTCAGGCATTGGCCTAGGAATGCACAGTGAAGGACCAAAACAGACATGCCCCTGCCTTCAGGAAGCTCACAGCTTATCCCAGGGAGAGAACAGCCAGTTCTGGTTTGGTTTTGGAGGATGACAAGCTATGGTATTTAGGGCCAGTCCATTCTACTCTTTTAATCTCAGATTTTATATCTGTAAAATGAGATAGTAAATGTTGGATTTAGTGAAAAAAAGGTGGCTTTTTCACCTTTATTGTGAATCAGAATTACATGGAGGATATATTTAAAAACATCTTTTCCTGGCCTCCTACCCCCAGATACTCTGATTGAGTAGGTTCAGGGGGGGGCCCAGGAATGTACATCTATAGTGAGGTTCCAGACCTCAGCCACCCTTTGAAAGAGACTGATCTGGCTGTAAATTCCATCAGTGCCTGCACGGGGATCTGTCTTGTCACGCCTCTGTCCCTAGTACCTAACACAGTGCCTGGTGTAGAGTAGGTCTCAATAAACATCTGGTGATAGTTTGAATGACCTGTCTAAGGGGTTTCCATGGATGGACCAAAGAAACTTGTGAACCACCTGAAATTAACTGCAATTTTTGTTAAGGTTTGTGGATAGGATTCTAAAGGCCGTTTGGGCTCTGAAGGCTCTGTGATTTTGGAATTGAAACCAGCTTTTTCTCCTACCAAAAGCTCAGACCTATTACTGGAAATCTTTTTAATATATGTAGTAAAATTTGAGTCCTGTATCAAGGCAATTTGGTGTGAAGATGTCGATTTACAGTAGATTCTTCAGATCCTAAAGTTCATATCCACATTCTATGTGTAAATTCTGAAAGTGCTCAGGATATATACTGTTGGTGATTTTCTCAGTTTGTCTGAAAGTACCTGTGGTCAGGCAGTGCTGTCTCCATTTTCAAGATGGGAAAATCGAGGTTTCCATGCCTCCTGTCTCTTGTCCAAGGTTACACTACAAGGGTTCTCTCTACCACAAACTAGCCTGGGAACCGAAGAACATGGCTCTTATCCTCTTGCCTGCTTGCGTGGCCTTGGTTGAGTAACTTGGCCTCTTTAGGCCTCAGTTTCCCCATGTGTAAGATGGGGAAGAGTGGACTAATTGTCTCTGAGCAGCTGCTTAGCTTGGCTATTTGGGGACTCTAGTAATTACACACGTAGACATGCAGAACTCCCTGTGTCGGCAGGCTCTGCAGTCCTCCTAGTTTAGGGAAGATGTAAGGACTAATGCAACCACCCAAACCAGCACAGGTCATCTCTGCAGGTCATCCCAGAGGGACGTTACATCCTTAAGGCAAAAGGCAGTGGAGGTGATAGAAGCCATGGGTGTCAAACTCCCAGAATTGTGGAACCTTAATCCTCTACCCTGTTAGTTCAGGAATTCACTGTTCATCCTGAGAACAAGATTCAAGGACTTTACTTCTATGAGGTCATAACTGTGAGACTCAGCCCTGTGCCCTGTCTAAGCAGCACAGCTGTTGTGCTCAGCCCAGCAGCGGGGCTGAGGGAACTCAGTCTGAGCACTGACATGTCTTTTGAGTTTTTAAGAGAAGCCAAAACTCTTGATAAAACAACAGAAAATCTCTTTTTTTTTTTCACACTGGAAATTAAAAAATAAATAAATAAATAAAAAGCCACCAGGTTGTAATTTGCCCATGACCAGGCCTCAGATTTTGTGTGGCCTATGATGATAACTGCCTGCTTACAGTGGATGGAATTGCCCGGGTTTGGTTTGACCAGCACAGAGCAGGAGGGATTGTGGCCTCCTTCATCCTAGACCAGTAGCTCTCAAACTTGAGCTTGCATTAGGATCTACTGGAGGACTTGTTAAAACACAGATCAAAGGGCCCCGTCCCCAGAGGTTCTGCTTCTGGGGGCCCGGGGCGGGGCCCAGGAATGAGCATGTCTAACAAGTTCCCAGGTGGTAAGGGCGCCACTGTTTCAGGGACCACACTATGAGAACCACTTTAGATTGGTGCGTTGCATGAAGGCATCCTCCATTTGCAGAGCCTCTTTAGTTCTGCCAGTGGCCTCAAGTAACCAACTGAATTTCCCAATCTTTGGGTAGCAAAAACTAGAGAAGAATTTGGGGGGGAGGGCTGGAAAAAAGATTGCGTAACAGCTCATGATCAAGCAATCCTGACATCTAGACTTAGAAGTATTCACCTTGGGCAGGTCTCTAACCCACCCCAAGGCTCAGTTTCCCTGTTGGTGAAATAGGGAAGTGGTCCTAGCTCAGTTTCCAGGTGTAATTGTTCGCTTGTTTGGAGATTTGGTTGTCAGTTTGTTTTTTGCAGAGAACCTATCTAAAATGAAATCCCACATGGAACCCCAGTACAGAAAACAGATAGATGCATTTGTGGTCTGACTGAAGGGGGGCTCACGCTCCTACTCTCAGCCCCTCTCTCCCCCAGGCAGCACAGAGGTGTCTCTTGTACAAATGTAGCTCAACATAGTTGAAACCCTCCTAAGAAACTTCTAGCCCAGCTTCTGTGATTTGTGGGCATGTGGCCTTTCTTCTCACAGTTTCCTTTCCTTCTCTGACCAAAACACCTGGCATGCCAACTTTCAGGATTTTCTTCCTGCAGCTCAGAGCGGTCTGTAGGAGACAGAATACAAAGGATTGTTATTGTCATTAGAGCTGTTGTAAGGATATTGAGCTGTTGGGGGAAATCTGCTAACTCGAGAATCAGCCAGAGACTTAATAAATGGGTGTGTGGATGGTTTTATTCTGGTGGCTTCATGTTGGTGCTAATGTCCCAGTACATGCCACACATTCAGGGCCTTTGTCATTAATTGCATAGGAAACAGGACCATTGGATTTTGCATGCCACAGTGACAAGGACAAGGCTGTGGAATTTTTAACGGGCAAGGTGATGGGGAAAGCCATTCTCATCTACGGGAACATGGAAGATTTTGTGGTGCCGTGTTACCTTGGGAAATTCTAACTGAGCCCTAGGGCCAAGTTTTTAGACTTGACTATGACATGGGAAAGCACCTGGCCCCTTTGGATGACCCCAGACCCTGGTCTGTGGCCTCTTTTAACTAGGGAGACCCTTCCTGATGGGCCCATGATGATGGGCTCACCTCCCCAAACACAAAATACACACCTTTAGAGCCAGGCCCCTTGGGGCTGCTGTGTAGCCCTGTTTTCTTTCAGCCATCCAATGGCTTGTTCATACCTTCCACACAAAATTGCCAAATATTTGCCCTCTTTGGGACGGAGCTCTCTTTTGGGACGGTAGAGATGACCAAGACCCTACTTCTATTCCTGTACTCAGTGTTCCTTGGGCCAAGCCCATCTCTGCCACTGTCCACCACACCTGGCAGTCTATGCCTAGGTCATTTGTCCTGCCTGCCTCTCATTTCTGTTTATCTGAAGTGTACCCCACATGCCCACAAGTCCATGGAACTTTCTCCAGTTCTCCCAGGTAGAAGTGAACTCCTGTAGCACTTCCTGTGGGCCTCTCATCTTAAGGGTCACTACCCTGCCCCATCCAGTATGTGGCCACCAGCCACCTGTGGCTGTTGAGCACTTGAAAGGGTCTGAATTGAGATGAGCACAAGTGTGAAGTACACATGGGGTTTCAAAGACTTAGTACAAGAAATAAAATATCTCAATGATTTTTAACATTGCATGCTAAGATGATCATATTTCACATAGAGTATATTGAGTTAAATAAAATATATTTTCAAAACTAAGTTCACCTGTTTCTTTTTATTCCCAATGTGAATACCAGAAAGTTGAAAGGTACATATGCGGCTCCCACCTGTGGCATGCGTTATCGTTTCTGTTGGACGGCGCCATTCTTACTGCTTTCTCTCTTGGGTGAAAGGAATGCTTGGCCATTTGTTTTTTTCTCCTGCTGGTTTTTGAGTTCCAAGAGGGTAGACACTGTGTGCCCGTCACCTTTCTGATCTTTGCACACCTGGCTGGTCCATGGCAGGCACTAACGGAGGTATACCAGTGGCATTCGTAAATGAAGAAACGATGGCAGACAGTCAATCAATACCAAAAGCCCCCTCAGGCAGTGTAAATTCTGGGTCTCTGTTATTAAACTTATGTTCCCTTTTCTTTTTCATAGTATTTGTCTTTTTTTTTTTTAAGGGATCACACAATCAGCCAAAGAAGATATTTTTCTTGGGAGATGGGCAAAAGCTGAAGGACTGGCACGACAAAGAAGCCATCAGGAGGGATGCTCAGCGCGTAGGTACGGAGAGCAGGGTCATCCACGGGCAGGTCCCCTGGAGAGTGTACGTATGCGTGCGTGTGCGCGTGCACGCACATGTGCATGTGTGTGTGCACGCGCGTGCATATGTGTGTGTGTGTGTGCGCGCGTGTTTAACGGGGTGTCTGGACCTTCTGTTGACTCCATCTGCCACCATTCCTTCCCCTGATTCTAGAATCCCCATCTTCACCTGACAGCTGACCCCTTCTTTTCTCCACTCATATCACCACATCCACTGCTTTTAGGAATTTGCTCAGCCACCTTGAGAGAAGGGACCTGTAGCTCAGAGAGATGGGATAATCTACCCACAGTCCACAGTAGTGAGAAGGAGGGAGGCTTGGAGTTTGAACCCAGGTCTGCAGGGCAGAGCTGACCCCTACCCAGCACTGTAGCCATGAATTTGAAGGAATTTAGTGGGCTTCAGCTAAAGTTTTCTTTGGCTAATTCGTCTTGGGAGCAGTTCCTGTTGCCGTGAGGCGTTGGGAAGGGTTGGGATGGGAAGGTACGTAAGGAGAGTCATTTCTAGAGAGCGTGGATTAGGAGTCAGGAAAGCAGCTCTGACACCCCTTATCAGCCATGTGACCATCAGCTAAATTCTCCGTGAGCCTCAGTTTCCCCATCTGTCAGTGGGGCTCATGCTTCTTGTTTTGACAGCCTCAGCGTGTTGGTATGAAGAAACTTTACCCTGGAAAGAACTCTAGAAATATAAGGGATTGGTATTTTATTCATTTTTTTTATCTCAGTTAAAGGCACCCACTATTGTTGATTTTTTTCAAAATTACATTATGACAAAACCAGATTACAACGAGGCTATGAATAGAGCTGAAATGATAACTGAAGTTCAGGGAACTCTAAAGACATGACATGCATTTTTCTGTATGCCAGTGATTTAGAATGAAAGGTTGGGAAGGGGGTGCCGCTTAAATTAAGAAAGGAAGCATTTGAAAAGAGCTGATTTGCCAGATAATTATACTAGAATTATTAGAACGTTGGGCTAACTAGCAAAAAAAAAAGTCAGGATTGGAGAAATTATTCAGCATAATAATGACCGGTGCTACGTACCAGGCACCTCGCCCTGCATTACCGCCTTAATCATCACACGGAACCTTCTTATCCCAGTTACTACAGAGGGCAAAAACCAAGACATAGGCAGGCCAAAAGCATGCCCAAGAGGACCTAGCTGAGGAGTGGCAGGGCTGGGCTGTGAACCCCACTATGCCCGTCTCCAGAGCCTGGACTCTGAATCAGTCCCCTGTACTGCCTTCCTGAGGCATTCTTCCCTGAGAGAGATGTTTCTGCCCTTCTGTGCCTGCTCGCTGCATTTGTGTCCCTTCCGGAATGTGTCTTGGGCACTAACCAACAGTGTGCTACTGTGGAGCGTCCTGTACAGACAGCAGCGTCCTCCCCCTCCTCTGGCTGGTTTGGGGTAGCCACAGCCATTCTTGGGCTGCGCCTCTCAGCTGGCACCTTCCTTTCAAGCTGATATGGTCAGCATTAACTTTGCAAACCAAGCAGGGTGTTGCTCCGACCACAGGCTTCAGAAGATGAGGTGGTTCCTAACCCACTGATTTTATTGCCATTTCTTTAAGAGCCTCATCACTGGCGGGTTCTTGGGCTGTTATCGCAGGGCTTGTTGTAGACATTCCCAATCACCATCTGCACCCTGGGAACCCAGAGGATAATTTCCTGGAGCATCAGGAACTCTTTCCCCAGGTGGATTGTCCAGAGAGAGGAAAGAAGAGGCCTTTACCCACTCAGTGCGTGACCCACGGCAACACTTTTCAGGCAATTCTGGCGTAGGTTAGGCAGTTCTTCATTTGCTGGCTTAAAAAACCAACACATCTTTTATAATCTGTGGCACTTCCAATTTACATATAAAGTTACCCTGCCTAGACAGTAATCATAATATTTCCTCACGTTGATATAGTGTTCTGTAGTTTACAGAAAGCTTTCTCATGTGTACAGCATTTCCTTTGACTCTTTACATGCTGTGGGTAGCAGAGGGGCACCAGCTACAGTTCAGAGAGGTGGTGTGACTGGGCCATGGTGATCCGCTCATACGTGACTAACCTGGCCTCCTGTCCAGGTGATTGGCCTCCCAGTCAGGGGTGTTTGGGGCTCCTGGCAGAATGCAGGGAGCATGGGCTTTGCAACCCGCAGACCTGGTTTTATAACTTTTCTGAGTCCCCATTTATCCACCTAGAGCAGCGGTTCTCAACCTTTCTAATGCCACGACCCCTTAATACAGTTCCTCATGTTGTGGTGACCCCCAACTATAAAATTATTTTCGTTGCTACTCTATAACTGTAATTTTGCTCCTATTATGAATCGTAATGTAAATATCTTTTTGTTTTCCGATGGTCTTAGGTGACCCCTGTGAAAGGGTCGTTTGACCCCCAAAGGGGTCGCGACCCACAGGTTGAGAACCGCTGACCTAGAGGTTGAGGGCTCTCCAGTCCACCCTGCAGACTTGATGTGGAGACCACATGAGAACAAAGTCTGTGAAGTGTAGGACTCCCATGACTGAATAAGTGCCCGTTAACCTGCCTTCTGTCCTCTTTCCCCTGAAAACCTGGACCTACACTTGGTATCCGATCATAAAGGTTTACCTTTGTGGTCACGTCGCCTTTTTCATCCCTCTTCCCCTCTCGATTCACTTAGCAGCATCGACTTTGCTCTTTGCCCCTAGGAAATGGAGAGCAGGGGCGACCTTACCCCATGACCGACGCAGACAGAGTGGATCAGGCGTACCGAGAAAATGGGTTTAACATCTACGTCAGTGATAAAATCTCCCTGAACCGCTCTCTCCCTGATATCCGACACCCAAAGTAAGTGTAACATCGCTCATCTTCTGGGATGTAAGGATTTTGCTCTTGGCTCTTGTCGAGAATTAATTAAAGAAACAGGTAGAAGAAGACACTGCTGGATAGGAGAGTCCCTCCTGTTCCCGAGGGCCTTTGTGCGAAGGTTCCCGTGATTGGATACACCTAGGATGTCCATGTGAGGCAGAGGGACGGTGATGTGTCCCCAAGAGAGCCAGTCTCCTAGCTCTGTTCAGGTGGTGGAACATGGAGCCCCTACATTTCCTTTTTGCTCTGGCCCATGGGGATATTCAGACCCCAGTTAGAAGACATTTGCAGCAACAGTTCCAGCCTTCACTCTCTCTACTTTCTATGTGTGACATTCTTATTTTTTTTATTGTCTTTACTTTAGCTCTCCTGTGTATCTGTATATGTATGTCTTTGTTATAAGCTACTGCAAATCATTTGAGAGAGGACATAGTGTACCAATTATAAAGAGGACAGTGGCAGCTAACATTCTTTGAGTAGGCAGCATGTGCCGGGCCCTTTGTTTGCATCATCTCAGGTTCCTGTGAGGTGAGTCCTAAATGATGCCCATTTTACAGATGAGAAAACCAAGGTTTAAAGGAGTGTCATAACTCCCATAAGGCCACAAAGAGACTGAGGAGCTGAGCCAGGCCTTAGGCTCCAGTTCAGCCAAAAGCTACATTCTGGACCTGAAGCCATCCTGCCTCCTGGACGTTTTCAGTAGGGTTATTGTGAAGGTCACGGCGATTTTCTAGGAGAACAGTTGTTCTTAAAGCTGATGTGCAGTAGAATCATCTGAAGGGGCTGTTGGAACACAGGACATTGAGCTTCACCCCCATAATTCCTGAGTCGGTAGATCTGGGTTAGGGCTTAAGAGCTTGCATTACAAATAAGCTCCCACAGGGAGCTCCTGCGACTTGTATGGGGGCCAAAATTTGGGGTCCACTGCAAGTGGGAGATTTCAAAATGGCTCCTACACGAAGGCAGTACTGCGTAGCACTGGAGGATGAAGTGTTTTGTTCAGGGACTAAAAGTAGAGGCCAGGCAAAGATAATGAGAGCTAACACTCACTAGGTGCTTACTATATGCCAGGCAGTGTTCTAAGCCAGTGGCTCTCAAAGTGTGGTTCCCAAACCAGTGCCATCAGCATCCCCCAGGCGCTTGTTGGGCATGCAGGTTCTCAAATCCCAGCCCAGGTCAGCCAAATGAAAGGCTCTGGGCAGGGACCCAGCTCTCGGTGTTTTAAGAAGCCCTGAAGATGAATCTGGTCCATGCTTACGTTTTATAACTGATGTTCTGGGCACTTAAGTGCGTTAACTCAGCCAAACTGTCCAAAAACCCAGTGAGGTAGATACCTTTATTATCACCATTTTACAGATGGGGAATTGAGGTACCAAAAGGTTAAATCATTTACACAAGATGACACAGCTGGTAAGAGGTGGCACCAGAATTTGAATGCAGGGATTCTGCCTCTCACAGCGGTTCTCAACCTGTGGGTTGCGACCACTTTGGGAGTCGAACAACCCTTTCACAGGGGTCGCCTAAGACCATCGGAAAACAAAAAGATATTTACATTATGATTCATAACAGTAGCAAAATTACAGTTATAGAGTAGCAATGAAAATAATTTTATGGTTGGGGGTCACCACAACATGAGGAACTGTATTAAGGGGTCGCCGCATTAGGAAGGTTGAGAACCGCTGCTCTAGAATATGTGTTCTCAATTGCTGTGCTATAAGGTCTTTGCACCTATAAGAACTGAGTCGGTAGACTGCAATAATCAAGAATTAATCTTGACAGCATTTTTGGCTGCTCCCCAGATGTTTCCAGCCCCATTACATCCTGCAACAGTGCTTGGAGCGGGGAGTACTGTTACCATCTCCACTTTGTGGGGGAGGAAGCCACACGGCTGCAGAGTGCGCCTCTTGTCCGGGACTGGGCCCTCTTCCTGAGGGTTGCTTGCAGTGAGGGGAGGGAACGGGCCTCAGTGTGCCTGCCTCTGGGGTTTGCAATTTGTTTCATGGACTTCACTGTCAAGCCTGAGAATTTTTTTCATCTAAGTCCGAGAATGTAGTTCAGATATTACTGATGTTTCTGGATTCAGAGCTGCGACCTGACTCTGAGGGTCAGAAACTCCATTTATGTGTTTAGCCCCTTGCAGAGTTCAGAATTCGGCACTAATATCATCTTTCTGGGTCTAGGGAAGAAGTTTATCTGGGAGCCTTTTATTCTCACCTCAGCTGATGTTTTGTGGGACTCTGGGCTCTCACTGTGCCTGGGGTAGTTTAAAAAAAATACAAAGGCTAGGACCCCACCCCAAGCCACTGGAATCTCAATCTCTGGGGATGAGGCCTGGGTCTTAGCGTTTCCTAGTCTTTAAAAGCAGTTCTCTCATATGACCAGGGTTGAGAACTGCTGGTGTGAAATAAGGAATATTTTTACAATGAGAAAGAGAAGCTGGGTGTGGTCGCAGCTTTTGTCCATCTGTTCATCTGTTCATTCAGTAAATACACAAATAGTGGTCTTGTGTGTGCCGAGCCCTGTGCCTGACACCAGGAACACAGTGATAAATGAGCCATTCTTGCTGCTTTGTGCAAGGGCTGGGACAGACGGCATACGGAGGGCATTGCACGGTTGAGAAGCCCAGTAATAAGTGGTGCGCAGAGAGTGCTTGGAACCTCAGAGGGCACCCCCACGCCACACCAGCCTTTGCGGAAGACGCTGCAGGTAGAGAGCTGCCTGGGCAAAGGGCCCCAGGCAAGACGATGCACGTTCTTCAGCTTATGAATTGCAAGGATGAGTCCCTCAGCTGGTTAGAAGAGGAGCCAGCATGGGGGTACGGACCCTTTGTCTCCCTGCGCAGTGCTCTTTCCCGACAGCCCAGAGAAAAGAAAGATCTTAATCCAGGAATTCTGTGGTCCACGAAGAGAATTCAGGAAGGTCTGTCAGCTTGGATGAGAAAAACATGGCATTTTTTTTTTCATTCACCTCCAACTGAAACTTGGTGTTTCCTCCAGTTATGAATGTAGGCAACAAAGCACCTGTGATGTAGTCACCAAAAGAAGTCACGTGCTTTCTCATCACTTTATAGGTATCGTGAAATGTCGTGGACATTCATCACTACTTTGGAATGAAGGTCGTTTTTAGAACCACCACTAGGTCATGTCATTTAATGTGTTCCTAAAGAAACGCATTTGTTACTGTATTTGAATTTTTTGATAACTATTTCAGCCTAACTAGTTTCCTTTACAACCTCATATATTTTATTTTATGAATTATAATCATTGCTCTCAGACGTGTGTGTGCATTTTACCAGCCTTGCAGAGGGGTCCAGGACACTGATAAGGTGAGGAACCCTGGTCCTGGATGGATGTGAGCTGAGCCTGAGGATGCCACAGGCTCCTCCGTGACCAGCCCACACGCCCAGCCAGCATCCAAGCTTCAGTGAAAGATGGGGCTACAGAGTAGAGAGTGGGAATGGAGTCAATGGAATTGTAATAGATAAGCATATCGGGGGTGGGAGGGCAGTAGATGGGGGGAGGGGGAGTCGTTACTTGGTGAGGGTGAAAAGGATAACTATTGCATTGTTCTGTACACCTGAAACTAACAATAAAATTAAAAAAAAAAAGATGGGGCTACATATAGTGCTCCTAACACACACCCCCCCCTTTTTTAGACTCCCTAGTTGTGGAAGCTGACTTTTCAGAAATAAGTTGACAGATGTCTTGAAGAGCCCCCCCCCCCCAGCAGAGGGAACTTTCCTGCAGTTTGACAGCAGAAATGTGTGAATAAATTAGAGCAGTGGAGCCCTTATTCCCCCCAGTTTCTTTTAGCTTAAACAACTTCCCCAGCAGGAGCTGAGGTTTATGTTTGCCTTTTATTCCTTCGAACTGAATTTTGGCAACAGCATGTCAAGAAGAGGATTGAGGGGCTGTTTGTTTGTGCCAGCTGCATTCGCTTCCCCCAGAAGCTGCACTGGGGGACCGCGCAGCCACAGAGAGCGGAAGCTAGAGGCTTGGGCCTGACTTGCTGGCTTGCACGTGGGAGGCGGCCAGCTGGCTCTGAGCAGGCCTGCCCTCTGCACTGCCTGCCAAGGGAGCAAAACAGAGGCTGGCTGGTGGGCTGGCCCACTTTCCCTGCTACCCAGAGGGCCCTGCTGGGCTGCTCAACAGCCGCACATGGAGGCCACTCAGGTGTACAGAGCTGATGGCAGTGGAGCTGCAACTGCTAACGTGGCCTGGGTCTGAAGGTTTCTATGCACAGCCCCCTGCTGGGTAGTCAGTTGTTCCCAGGCAAAGATTGTCCAAAGTGGCAATGAAAGTGGTCTACAGCCCTGACCTGCCCTCTGCAGTCCATGGGTTTAGCTTCCAGTAATGAATGAACCTAAACGGAGTCTTTGTTGCAATAAAAGGCCCAGACCTACCTAGAATCCTGGGTCCATGCTCCTTTTTGCTTTTTCCTTTTTGTTAAATTAACATGGTTAATTTATGGTGTGTACTGAATTTCCTCAAAAGAATTTACAAGCTCATATTATTTAGAATAGGCCCGTTTCCTATTGAGCACCTTTACGTCCCCAACAGTTTGCAAAAACAACAGTGGAGGGAGTTATACTCTGTTACCTTTGACAAACATTTATTGAACTTATACTCTGAAGAAAAAAATGACAATTTGAAAGCACAGGAAGTTAAAGCCCACCACATTTGTAGTAGTAATAATAATAATAATATCTGTGCTCCAATACGAATGTACACATAGACCTTAAATATTCTATTTAGGAGCCAAGATGGAGTAACAGGGACCAGATTTACTCCCCTGCCTGAAACAACTGGAGGAAAAAAAAAAAGGACACTGGACACCAGGAAGTGAAGGACAGTAATCCCCAGGAGGCGAGAAACAAATGAGGAGAGCCCTTCAGCTGCCTGGGCTAATTGCCTTGAGAGAGTTTTCAGGGCGTGGTGCAGGGTGGGGGAGCCCAGGTGGAGCCCCGAGGACTTCCTGAG